TTTTTGGCTAATTTTGTATAGGTAATTAAGGATTTTAGCTAGATTAGTATTTTTCCCCAAGAAATATACTTCGGACAATTCCACATACTTGCTTGAATAATTAGATCCCATCGAGTCCATTAACAGCCATGTGCAATTAATGTGAGATCCACTCCACATCATTTTAGATCCTTAATCACCACAAACTAATCAACATTGATGGATCCTAAACCTACCCATCGACTCAAATCCAACAATAATAAATAATTTTCATGAATCAAGATCTCATATTTGAGGTTAAGCCAGGTCAATGAGGATTGCAAATGAATCAAGATCCCATTTGAGATGGGTTGACTCTTGAGCACCATGTTCTCTGATTTTAACAAGCATGAGATATGATGTACGCATGCCATCATAATATCAAAAAAATGTTGGAATACGTTATTTCCATAGTTTTTCTTTCCTTATTGCATCTTCTGTCTATATTCATTCTTCAAGAAGCACAATGTTTGGATGAAATTAAAATAATAAAATGTATCAAAGAAACTGAAATTTAAAGGATTTGAAATATAAAAAAATTGTTTTTTTTGGTGATACTTTTAGTTGACATAAAATGAAATAGAACATTAGCCCATTTTTTTTTTTTGGAGAAGTAAGGTCATTTACTTATTAAATTCTAAGGTTAAAAAAAGTTATTTAAGTAATTTTAAGGGTTAATGTCATAAAATGGCCTCTAATAATATTTAATTTGAGTATTTTTTTTTAAAGTTATAAAATGGCCTCCAATTTGAGAATTTGATTATCTTTACTTGTATTCAATAGCACCACAACCTTTTTTGGTATTTCTATCAAACGACCAATGTGTCAAAATTTGAACATTTATCCATGTGGCATCAAATATGGTAAAAATTTGTATATTTTGTATCCACACTTGATGCCACGTAGGATTATATATCAAGTCGTGTAATAGCAACTATACATAAATTTATTTCAATTGTCTTGTGAAGTTTGCACAACATTTAATCTTTCACATGAATAAACAGAATCATACAAGAAACAAGCTTTTATAGTATTTTAGAATTTAGATAGTAAATAAACATCATATAATATAACAAAAGTTGGCTCAAGCTATTTGATTGCCTTCCATATAACTTTTTAATTAACATTCTAATAAGAACAAAAAAATCCAATACAATCAACATGCTATGACATTTGATAATTAAAAAAACGATACAAAACCCAAATGTATCATAACTTAAACCACAAAATACGTGAGCAAAAACAACAAACTAATTTCAAATACCAAATCTATCATTCCCATTTATAAAAAGATTTTCAAGAAGATGATCATGATGATGATGATACCTTAATAGCTTTATACGCAGGGTGTAACAAACCAAGTTCATCTTTCACTTCAAGAGGATTACTTGTATCATTTCTTGTTCTTTTCACCCTCCTACTAGCAAGTGATTTGTGAGTGAATCCATACATTTGTAAAATCTGATTATCCCCAAAATTAAAAGCTCGATCCATTTGTTTCAAACATCTTTCAACAGGGTAATCACCGAATTTCCCACAAGGTTTACACCCCACAAAATGAGTAACAAGAGGCCACCTATGATCACCTAAACCTGGATGATAACTTGCAATCATTTCCTCATATCTATCAACCAAAATCCCCCAATAACCATGAAGATAATAATGATTTTCTAGATAAACTTTATTCGCCCATTTTTCCTTCTGTGAAGCCAATAGCCACACCATAGCAGATTGATCATCTGCTTCAAAAACGGGTCGATCTTTGAGTTCACGGGTCAAAATCTTTCCAGCTTCTTCTCTGATTTTCCCCTTCGGACCCATGGGAGCCCAAACATCGAGTAAATCCAAAGACCATTGACAGTTTCTGAGTAAAAAGCTACCTGTGTTTAATCCGATCCAATTCTTTTGATCATACACCATTTCATTCCAACCATGGAGAACCAGGTTTTTGTCTTTGTATCTCTCCCATGGAACCTCAAATGCCATGTCTGTAAACATGGCGTCACTATCCATCCACCATAAGAACTCTACTTCAGGGTGGCTCAGTAGAAGCTTTCTGATTAATGGCAGTTTAGCCCAAAAACCAGCCATTTCTGCGTCGAGTAAAGCCATGTTGTAGAAGATTTCGATCCCGTGTACCCTACAGTAATCTATCTTGTTTTTGATCGATTTCAGAAGATAATGATCACCAACTGGATTCTCACAGGGTTTTGGTGAAGACCCGGTTACAAGCAAAACCCTAGGTTTATTAGCATTGAGAAAATTAGGGAAATTAGGGTTTTGTTTCAGCCAATCACCTCTTTGTTCGTCCCAATCTGAGATCTTGGGCCCTATGCTGTAGGGTTCGTTTGGATTCTTCTTCACATCGTCTTCTTCATCAACAAACAACTTATTGATGTCAAATTCCGCGTAATTATTGGTCGACGACGCCGTTGTCGTCTGGTCAGTGGTTGTCTGTAATTCTTCGAGGACGCGGCGGGGCTCGGCCCGCTTGCCCCGTACATGATAGAACGTTTCCCGGATCTCCTTAAAATCCTGCTCCGGCGTGCCAAACTTTCCGGCACCGAGGTTGCCACGCAGGACGACGATGGTTAGGACCAAGCAAAAAAGCGTGATCTTGCCGTTACGGAAAATCCGCTGGAATTGACGCGTCCGGCGAGTCCCGAAAATCCGATCCAGCATCTTTCACCAATCCGATCTACAATTTGGTCGGATACGGCTTAGGGTTTTTGGAAAGAAACCAAATCAAACCCACCCAAGTTCTTATAAAGTTGTATCTTTATCGAATTCTGATCTCGATATAAAGGTAATAATTTGATGATTAACAAAACTAGTTTTGAAAAGATTTTTGAATTAGAAAGCGATGATGCTAACAAGATAGGTAAATTGGGAATTTGGAACACTCATTCTTTGGGGTTTTGGCTTTGAATTTGTTGAATTGATGAACGCTCCTCTCAAATTCATAGATTTGGAAATGTCGGTGGAGAGAGATGGTGGTACAGTAGTTGCCTGGTTGGGATGATTAGGAAATAAAACATTGCATAAATGGCCCCTATACTTATATACAAGTTATAGACATAGTCCCTTCAGAAAGAGACTAATTTTAATGCACGACACATCATTTTTATTGTTTCTTTAAATGTTCATAACAGTTTGTAATAAATTCTTAAATAAGTAATAATAATAAATATTAAATATAAGGAATATAAAAATAAGACTTTGTGATGGATCTTTTTCGATGATCACGGATGCAAATATGTAAAAATTTAAAACATGTATGCGTAATGTGTTCACAAAAAATTGCAATGTTAAAAAAAATAAGCATAATTAATTAATTATTGTACTGTATCATATAAGAAAAATCGTTTAATAGTATATTTTTAAAATATTTAATCGAACATTATATATTATAAATTATAAATGTGCAATATATATATATATATATCATACAATAGTTAAGTAATGTTATTCTCATTTGTTTTTAAGGAAACCAATACATTTTATTCTTTAAAATGTTGCAATATTTGACTTGATATATGAAATTTAATAATTTCTTTTTTGTTAGTGCCAACAAATTTATGAAATATTCTTACCAAAATCAAACTTATTACTTTGAAAAAAATATTTACCAATTTAGTATAGTTTCAAAAATATTTACCAAGCTAGTGTTTTTCTCATTTTTCTTGTATTTTTTAGTTTTCCTTACTGTTTTTATTTTATTTAAATTTCAGTTTTTTACATTTTTTTAAATATCAGTTTTTTATTTTCTTATTTCAGTTTTTTTTTCTTTTTTAACATAGTATAGTTTTTTTTCAAAAAAAAACACATAATCTCATGCATTATTCGTCAATTAAAAATAAAATATTTTAAGACAATTATAGACTTCGGTAAAAAAAAAAAAAAAAAAAAAACACCTTATTACTTTCTCTTTTGTAAATAGAAATCAAAATAATAAATAGAACAAATCATCTTTGTGTACATGAAACTCATCCTCCTTACTTAAATTACCTGCGAGGTACAGTGAAGAAAAGGGAAAAACATTTTAAATAGTTATGGTGTGCCTTTCTTTTTAATATTTGTATAAACAATAAATATATATATATATATAATTTTAAAATTTATAAGGATATTAAAATAATATTGAAAGTTGGTAATGACTAACATAATTTATTCAAAGACCATCTTATCATTTTTAATATACGTTTAACACAGATATTTTGACGTCATTTAAAAATTAAACATTGTATCACTATTAGAAAGATTTCTAACAGAACGAAAAAATCTACTTTTCATGCTAATTTCTTGTGACGGATAACAATAATCTATGCTTCTCCTTTTGGAATGTGTTTGCTTAAGTTTTCTTTTCCATAAATGTAGTTATTTTGTTGATTTTTTGGTTGTTTTTCAAGAGAATTAACTTCAATATCCCATTAGGCCATTCGGCCATTCGAAGTACATAGTACATACCCTTTTGTGGTTTATGTGGCAACGACCATGGTCCTTGAACATCACCCCGTGGGTCGTGGTCCATCGTGTTCGTGACAGATTGTGGTCACCACCACATTTGAAAACGGTCTTGATGGGGCTTCTTCTCTCTTGCAACATCTTCTTCTCCATCTTTGTATTATCTTCTTCAAGGTGGAGAGTACTTTAATGGTTTGTGGTGGCTGAACTGGAAGCTCTCCACGCCCCCTGGCGTGGAAAGTACTCCTTAAGACCTTAAATCTATGACATTTGAAAAGACCATTTGGTGGCTTCTCCTTTCACGAGATAATTAATCATTTTTAGCAATGAATTTTGGTTGTCTAGAAGACTAGGGTCATAATTGAATACATACATAGGAAATCCTAAAATATTGATTTATAATTGCATATATACCTTCGAAACTATTATACAATTGTTTATATACCCTCTTATATATTTATAAAAAGCCAATTGGTGTTACATTGCTATACCCTTCAATCTAATAATCTAATAGGTTCACAACTTACTCATATCTTCTAACTATGTCTTCATCTAGGTTCACTAACCGAAACCTTACCCTTGAATAATATAATATACAAAATGCATTGTATTTTGAAAGGGATATTAAGGTGTTTGTTTTTTTTCTTCAGAAAAACCACTTCTTGCTACACCGTGCAACACACGTCCTTTCATAACTGTTTGTTTTTTGGAAGACTTCTAATTTAAAAACTGTTGTGTGTGTGCTGTGTAGAAGACTTCTAACTTAAAAACTGTGGCGCAGCACTGGACCATCATCTTCAAACCACTTCTTACTTACTTTAAGTTATTTTATTCAACTTAGATGCGTTTTAATTTCTTTTTTCAACAACATATTTATCATTTTAATAATATTTGAAGAATATTATAAACAATTGGAGTATATTTTACATAATTTTTAAATAATTTCAAAGTCGTTTGATAAATTTCATATAAATACTTTTTGTGTTGTATTGTCTATATCCATATATTAATAAATTATAAAGTTGATCATTAAAATTACCAGATTTATTGAAGTTAACCGGAAAAATAATCAACGTTTTAGAATTTTAACAAAAATAAACATGTTTTTAGCTAAATTAACAATATCATTCATTGTTATTTAGCAAATATTATGTTTAATTCTTTTATATAAACCTTTTTAAAAAATCATATCATCATAATGATCTTTATATTTGATTTGCATATGATTAAATAAATAAATTTTTTATTTAGATTTATTTTTAACTATTGTATAGTTAATTTCAGTTTATTGCAGCAGTTTGCAGAGGTTAAAAAAACAAACAGACTTCTTATTACAGGCTGCAGCTGTTTGGTCCACCTCTTTGACTACAGATGATTGTTGATATGGTCCGCAAACTTTAGTCGTTTTCGCTTCGAAAAAACAAACAACACCTAAGATTCATACTAGAAGACAGTCACCTCTTAATGTTGAAAAAACTTTGTCTTTCTACTAATAAGAAGAAAATACCAAAGTGCTGAAAGCTTTGTAAGAGAAGGAAGAGAAGGAGGAGATTGAAGAAATGAATGTCTTTCAAGAATTAATAAGCAAAATGACCCTAAGGGTTATATTAAAAAGTATAAGTCTTTCTAAAAATGTTATTTCAATGTTTTATGTTGAATATTTTATGTTTTGTTAATGGTTTATGTTGAATATTTATAACGGGTATCAAGTGCCACCACAAAAACCACAAATATACACGCTCATAAGAACTCTACACACAAATTTGAAAGTCTAAGGATCTGAACTAAATTTGTTTACAAACACAAGGGCCAAATTTGTAGTTTCTCATTATTTTATCAAATAAAAGCTGTCCAGTAGTGCTTTGCTAGAAAGCACGTAGCAGGACCCAACACATGAAAATGGGTGAGGGTCTACGTAGCTTCCTGTGGACCCGCTTCACCGGATAAAAATTTGTACGACACGTTTTTGGACACAAAATACAAATATTACATTTCTCAATAATATAAATCGGATCAAAAAGGCCATGCCGAGACCCAATTTTGTTTGGATTTAAGCATCATGTTTGAAAATACTTTATACTATTTTTAGTTTTTAGGTTTTACATATTATAAGTGTTAATTACGTATATTAAAACAAAATAAATAAATAATTGAATAAAACAATATAGAAAAAAATTGAAAACATATATCATTATAAATCCATGGAGCATAAAAATTACGTCTTTAATGTTTAGGTAATAAATGATTATAAACTTTAATAATAATTTATTTTAGAATAAATTACAAATTTTGTCCAATGTTGTACTGAAAATTGTGATAATAATATAGAAATTGTATTTCCTTCTTATTCAACATCTAATACTTCAAGATACATCTTATTTTTTTATAACTAAAATAATTCGATGATCAAATAATTATTTTCCATTTATGTTTCTTTTTATTTTAATAAATGGGCTAAAAAATAGCCTTTGGAGTTTGGACTATTCAACCTATGAGTTTAGCATTCTTAGAGCCCAAAAATCAATTCGTTAGTTGTTATTCTCATGCACATGTCCGTTTGTCTTTATTTTTAGGGTGTTACAAGTGGATTATATACAAAGTTACTTTTTTGAGGAGAATTATCCGGTTTCGTAATGTAGAAAATTAAATACATGTTTTATTGGACCAAATTTTATGTAGAAATTGAAGTTTAAGATGGGGGCGTCTTAACCTCGCTTGTTTTTTGGTTTGTTATCTGATAACAAAATCATTCTAAAAGAAGATAAGGCTATACGGTATGGAGACAATCAAGCTACGCGTGGGGCTTACGTGGCAAAGCCACCTACGCGTGAACACCGCCCCAGGCGCGCGTAGGTGCCTTGTGGCGTGAGGCTGGCTACGGACGAAGACAACGCATTCGATTGGTGGACCATTTTTTGACCGTTTCTTTCTCTTTTTTGACCGTTACCAAGTTTAAAAAAAATCAAACAAAATTAATACATATATATAATACATACACAACATATAAACAAACGCATTTTCATTCACATCACAAACATATTTCTATTCCCTCTTTGAAACATAGATATGAATAATTTTGCGGATTCGATTGTTTCTTCTTCATCCGATGATGATAGCTCTGATGAAGATGACTTGGTGTTGCACACGTTGTTGTCTGCGGCACACAAAAGGGTGGAACAAAGAGGCGAAAGTTCAAATATCGAGAAGAGGCATAGAAT